ACAGTTATTGAGTGGGCTACTTTAAACCTCGAGCTCATGGAATAGATAAAAGCCAGCAGTGCAACAGTGAAGCAAGAGTTTAAATTCAAAAGAAACAAAAAAGAAAAATTAATCGATATTCACAAATTGTCATCCTGATAAAAGACAATGTGGGAGCTAGTGACAAAGTTTCCTTACTTGGATATGGGAAATGGCCACAGTCTTCTTCAGTATTGTCTGCCCAGGCCTTCGAAAGTGTTTGTTCAGCAGTAGTGAGAGGAGATGGAGTGTAACTGGTCACACACAGAGCAAGCTGGAATCAGAACCTGTTGTTCCAAGTAAAAGCAGGGTGGAAAATTAAGGTGATGCTGCAAGTGGGGGTCTTTTGGCTGATAGCTGATGGTCATGTTTCCAAATATTTCTACAATTAGAGCAGTTTTCATTAATGCTGGGACGCATCATTTTTATCTAGTGAGGATTAAGGTCCTCTTGAGATTAGACACTAAGGAACGTGTGTGTCCCTTGTCCCTGCCAACACCCCTGCATCTTAATTACAAATATAATTTGGTATAGGGAATTACAAGGAAATGTACTATTCCTTTTCTAGCATTATGCATATAAACTTGTATTACCTGTTGAGCAGGTGTTGGATTGAAAATATTTTCACTGCTTATAAAAAATATGTGTAGCACGTCAGAACAGAGAATCCTTATTACACTTAGGAAATGGAATGGGAATATTTAATGCCTCAGCCTAATGTCCATTTATAATAAGCAGTATAGTATATATCAATAAAATAAAAAGTGTTAGGAAGGGCTAGGTACCACACAAGCAACAATAAAGTCAAGATCTCTATGCTTTGCCAGGCCTTTTTTCCTCTTTCACTTGTCTATAAAATTTCATCTGTTGACTGCTGTTATCTGAAGGAAAAAAGTGCTTTTCCTCCATCCTGCTCAATACACTGTTTTTGTTATACTTTTCCTAATAGTGTATCTTTAAATACTGGCAAGGAATGAAAGAAATATAAAATAACATGTCATAAAGCAGAATCAGACACTGAAAGAACAAATATTTGTGGTGGTAATCATGTCACAGCATAATATTTGTTTGTTATGCAAGGCAATCTTGGTGCATTCGGTTTTCTGCCTGGAGTTTCAGTTTCCTTTTTTTTTTTTGTTTTCTTTAAAACTAGTGATTTTAGGTAGTCCTAATTTCTCATTTATTTTTTCTGTTGTTGTTGTAGACACTGTGTGTAAATTTTACACAAATATATGAAAGGAACACCATACCTCTTATTAGTCTGTAGTTTTAAAATAGGCCATCTTATGCTATGATTTGTTAAATTTTACTTAGCTTCACCACCTAAAAATTGAACTAAAAAATTACAGAATGCTTTGGATTAGAAGGCACCTTTAAAGATCATCTAGACCAACCTCCCTACTATAGGCAGGGACATCTTTCACTAGATCAGGTTGCTCAAAAGCCCTGCCCAATAGAAAACATCCACTTGAAACCAAACGTAGAATTTAAGCAGACATAATGAAATTAAACGTTATCTCCAAGCACTTAGAAGCAGTATTACTCGGACTCATAGGGATTACATCTCACCTTAAAAGAATGTATCTGCCATAGCAATGATTTCCAATAATAATCAAAATTAATCCTTGGTCTGACAGCCAACACAAATCCCATATATAGTTTAAAGGCTTAAAAAGCTGTAGACAGTTAAGTGGGACTCTACATCTGTACAGTATGATTATGGGGCTGATCCTATACTCAGGAGCAAACTTCTTACCACAGATTGGAGTATTGCTTTAATGCCAGCTAAAGAAGGGAGGACTTGGAGATGGGATTTCACTTCCCTGCGTCACTTCCCTAAGTCTCACAATTTTCCTGGAAAACCTGTTACTTGTTATCTGCCCCCTCACTGTTTATGGTGTCTATCTGTGAGGTTATCAGCTGGGGAAGTGTAGTTTATCCACTGATGTATGGAATTAAAGTAAACATATACGCTCAGAAGAGAACAATTTTCCATTCATGATTGAAATTTCAACTCTTAAATGAATCCCAACTGGATTAGTTAGAAGGATGACTTGGTTTCTTTTGTTCAGGGCCTGGAATTGAGTCTCTTCTCCTGCTTTGAAGCAGCAGTGTTTTTTTCTAAGAAATAAGCATTTGTATTTGTCTCCCGCTGATGATTAAACATTTTATATATTTTTTTTTAAATATGTAAAAATGGGAGATAGTAAATGATCTATTGGAAAACTTTAGGCATCTGCTTGTACTTTTGAAAATTCTTAACTTTCATTAAATGTAGAACTGAAAATATGCCACTTGGGCAGCAGCTTTTCCAGCATGCTCAGGGTTTCCAAGCTGTCAAATTTACAAATACCAAAACACTCTCAGGAATTCATTGATATTTAAAATCTGTACATCCCAGCAAAGAGTCTTTGAATTTTCTGTGGCTCCGCAAATGACTGTAAAGATACCCATTAATTTTTTTAATGCTTGTTGCTTTTGACTCACTTTAGGGATTAAGAATCTCCAAGTAGTTAGAGAGAAGTGTTTCAGCTGCTAAAAAAAAAAAAAAGGTAAAAATTGATTTTTCCTGTTGTCAGGCTTTCTTTTATTGATTGGCAGCTTAACATTTATCAGCTCGAGCAGCTTATGGCTGCCATTTTGTGAAGTGATATTTCAGAGGTCAAGCTAATGCAGCAAGTGGTTTTGTTTGCATTCCTAAAACTGATCCTTGCTGGGCTGTCATTATCTGCTTTTTCCTGCTTTGAGAGCTCAGGATGTAATGCACGAAGTGAAAAGTAATTATGAAAATCTCCTCTTACAGGCTCTATCCAGAATTTCTGAATAAGAATTTGTTTTTAAAAAGGTAGCAAGTGCTGTGATGACTTTTGGGGTTTGTTTTTTTGTTTTTTTTTTCTGTTTCCTTCTTACCTGAATTACCAGCAGCCTCAAAACATGAACATGACCATCAAGTAAGCAATTTTTTTTAATCACTCCAAGAGCCATACATAACAGTATTCCATAAACGAACAATTTTATTTATAAGGGGTTTGTACTGTTCACATGCCAAAATATTACATTTTACATGTGCTGGAAAAATTTATCAGGCTGTTTCCCTATGGAATTTTGTCATTGGCTGGGAACTAGCCAAGTATGAACACTGTAATAGGCTAGAATTTTAAAAACATAAAGACAAAAAACCAAAAAAGGATAAATAAACCTTCAAGAGCAAAGAAACCTGTGACACCAACACCATGGACACCACAATTTATCCCCATAGTTGTGATAACAAAAAGTGTTACCTCACAATATTTGATAGACCCTAACCCACCAATCCATATCCTTCTCAACAAAGGGCTTCTGAAATAGGTTAAATGGAATATACGTGCGCTGGCTGACAACTGGCATTTCTTAGAGTTGACAATTTTTAAAAGCACTTGATAACACTGTGCAATCTCTGGCATTGTTGTACAAAGAAAGCCCTGGCTGTTTCCTGTGACTCTATATTTATGTTTTCATTAAACGGAGTTGTCTGTCAGCTTCTTATTTCACAAGTTGTTTTCATGTTGCAGCTGAAATTTTTCTAAACCAGTATCAAGGATTGACATGCAAAGTCAAAAGACAAATGCCTCATCAGCTTGAAATAATGCATCTGGAAATTTAGCAACTCTGTATTTAAAGGGTAGAGAAGTTGTAGAGAAGAAAACAGCAGATTACAAAGGCAGATTTCTTACTGATAATTAGAATAAAGTTAGGATGGCAGGATTTAATTCCCTTGTTAGCTTTCAGGTGTGGCCAGAAAAAAAGGCAATTAACAAAGGAAAATAACAAATTAACTACTTCTGCAACTGGAATCTGGACCAAATTTCCCTTTGGAAGTAAATGGCCACAGACAAGACATATCTGTGGGATGCAAAGGGCAAATTAATGTCATGGCAGTGCCCACAAGCTGTTGTTTTTGGAAGCCAGGGGTATTTTGTGGGTATGTGGCTACAATTTTGCAGACATTTTTTCACTTGGAATTCAGAAGGGGAAACATGGAAACATAAATCTGAATTAATTATTTAAAGTATCAATATAACTGAACTCTCATTAATCTCCGGTGAGGAGGGTTGGGGTATTTTTGCATTTAAATGGCCTTCATTCAACTTCAGTGTATTTTACCTATGCATGACCTAAAGACCCAAATCTTTTGTTAATTCAATGAATTTTCCTGTTTGTACTTAATAAATAAGGTCTTGTACTTAAGGTAAGGTCTTAGAAAATCTTTAGTACATTAGTAGGTTTACCACTTTCACCAGTTCAAGTGGAAGTGGTATGATGTTTACTAAAATGCACAGACATTACATCCTGTGTGGGTTAGAGTGCAACCAGTCAGTACTCATCTGGGTAGGTTTAATATCTGGTCAGGAAGATGATTTGAGCTAAGAAAACTTGCTGCTGCTTTTGTTTCAAACACAGTTCAGTTCACAAATGTAGGTTCCTTCACAAAACTGAGAAGTTTGTAATCTGGATGAGGGGCAGAGAGAAGAAAAGAGAGCAGGGTGCTTGGCTGGAGACATCTCATTTGAATCTGATGATGGAAATCATCAAATATGATGTAAATTTGATTTAGGTTGTTCTCCAGTACCATGGGATAAAACTGGCTCTGTTGTCTGTTTAAAAAACAAAAAAAAAGAGTTCTTAAGTGACATTCTAATCAAGTAACATCAAAATTGTTTTTCAGGCTGTAAGTCCAAGGGAACATGTGTTTTGTACAGTACCAGGTATGATGGTTCTTATGTCAGGCAGAAGTCCCTGTGAACAACTACAAAATAATCAATGAATGTTTGCAGTTTCCTCTCTCCACTTTAACATTCTGCTTTCATGCTAGGATTACTGGGGTGAGGATTAAGGATAATTATCTCCTTGCCCTTATAACAGAAAAGATCTTGTATTTCCCCTTTCTTTACCTTAAAAACAGAAAGCCAAATGTGTTCACACTTTCTCCCTCCCTGTCCTAGGAAACGGATCTCATGACCTTTAACATCTCAATGCACCGCTCCTGGTGGCGGGAACACGGGCCCGGCTGCATACGAAGGGTGGTGCGTCCTTCTTCCCCTGGCATCCTAGAGGATTACTCCTACGTCTCGGTGACAGGCTGCATCATTGATTTCCAGTACCTAGAGGTCATTCACAGCGCTATCCAAATACTCCTCTCAGTAAGTTCATGTTTCTTCTCGTACTGGGATCCCATCAGTTCTTTCACACACAGCCTGCTGCTGTTGAATGTCCTGGAAAGGGGGTGCAGTGGCTGATGGATAACTGCAGAGATTTTTAATTGTGTTTTGAGTTAGAGAATTATATCCATGTTATTAAAATGTGCACTGTTCTTTTGTTTCCTTATATCTCTTAAAGCTCTGTACAGGCACAGTACACATTCTGACCATAGCTAGGATAGATGGAAATTAACTTGAGTCCTTGGCTCTCATTCATTGAGATGTAGAGCAAAACAAAGTAGATTTGTCCAAAACTAATTTTCTTAAACCTTTCTGAAGTTCACAATCAGTGATGCCATTTATTCAGCCCTGATTGTAAATGTATTTTACTTGATACGTTGCTAAGTTTCTTCCCAGACTCAGCTAAAGATTAATCCTTGAAAAAGGTCAGAAAAATATTAGGAATTAAAGCATGTGTTTATATTTAACCATGTTATTTTTTTCTGTCCTTGAACTCTGCATTATCAGAACACTCTACCTCCATTTTCCACATTTATTTTAACACCAGTCAAAAAGTGCAATTGCAAGAAGTTGTTATAAAAGCTTGCAGTGCAGGGAAGTGCTGGGACTCAGTGAGTTGCTGTGGGAACAACAGCCCAGTCTTGGCCACAGTTTTTCCTCAAACTCTTGCCTGTTCTGCTTGTGATTAATAGATTGTTTGGCATGGGCTGAGTGATCTACTAGAAGTTGTAGTTCTTTCTCTTCGTGGCTGTGTGTAGTGCATTGCAACTGGCTGACCCTAAGTGGTTGCACATAGGATTGATCACCCCAAATGTCCAGACCCATTATGAGAACATAAATGCTCATGGCTCATGGTCCTAACCATGGCCACCAGGGAGAAGAGGTGCAGTCTGCAGTCCACACCTGCTAGTCAGGTGAGCTACCTGGTCTGAGCAGCCAGAAGTGACACATATTTCTGGTCTGTTCAGTATTTCAAGCTGTTTTACTAACAATCTGGTTTATACTACCACTTGCAGAATAAATGGCATCTGTGAAATAAATCTCACTCTTTAATATTATTTCTAAATTTCAATTTTTACTTTTTTTCATCTTAAAGACATTTCTCTTGCAAAAGAAAACTAATCAGTATATTATATATAAATATATATATAGATATATATATATAAATATATATACCTATATACATCTGTCATTCTGTCCAGCTGTCTGAAAGTTCAAGATAATTCCTCTCCAGTACTAAATGCCTTTTGTAAGATGCCGAGTGTTTTTTCCTTGCTAGTACTTTTAGTCAAACTTGGATAAACTTGTACATCTGTGATTAATGAACTTACACTTGATGATCCAGGTTAGAATTAGTGCACTTGGTTTGCTCACCAGTGGTGTCACCTGCACCAACACAAGATGAGTGTTTTATCCTGGTCAGCTTCTCAGGCATGAGGGACATCACAAGCCCTACACAAGCCTTCTCCTGACCATCCTTCAGTCAGGCAGCAGAGACTTTGAGTCAGAATCTTTTCCAGTGAAGATAAAAATTACTTCTCTTGCGGCCCAGATCTGTGTCTGCCAATAAAAATTATAATATTACTGTGAAAATGGGCCTTCCAAAACAATTCTGTGTGCTCAGTTTTGACTGCATGCACCTTCCTTATATTTGTGGGTCCCTGATACTCAAAGAAGTTTGCTTCTCCCTTGAGTTCATTTGCAGTAGATTTCCTTCTCAATGCAGTGTCATTCGCTCTGCATCAGTGAGCCTTTACAAAGGAAAATAAAGTCTGGGTAGTTTAAAAGGAGAAAACCATAAATATTTCAAACTCTTCCTCACTTCCATAAGAAAAAAAAAATGGATATGTTAAAATTTATTCTAGTATTTTTTTGTGATTATCAACAAAAATTCAATGGAAATACAGCTGGTTTTTGATCACAGGAAATGTTTTCGTCTGCACTTATCAGTGCAGTAGAGTTCTGTCAAATGACAGGAACACAAATATTAATATTAGAATATTAGAATAAACACAATTAATATACACAAACTAAAAAATATGAAAATGAAAAAATATAGAAATTCTGTAGTAATTATAAATCATAAGATGTAGCTGGCTTTCCCCTTCTGAATAAGTGATTGATTGCCATGCTGGATTAAATAAGAATTCAAAATTTTAATTAAATTGAAAATTAAAAATGTGGAACTTATAAGGCATGACTGAATTAAATAGTTGTCAGTTTCAGACACTGCTTTGATTGATATAAACAATGCTAAAATTAAAAGACTGTACAGAAAGTAGGGCTTTCCTCCAGGTTTACTATCTTGCTATGCCATCTGTGACATCTTATGATTAACATACCATGAATCTGTACTTCAGTTTCCATTCTGATTTGTAATTTAGGCTTGTTTCAGGTACTGTCACACATGACAGCAGTCACCACCTGGATCATCAAATAATTCGTAGTTTTCTTCCATTTTCTGAATACTACTGACTTGAGGAAGTTCCCATCCATTTCGGATGTATAACAGCTTTCCTAATTGGGGTACCAATTTCAGTTAGTTGAAAGGTCATTTAGATTGTCTTTTCAAAGGACTGGGGAACTGTAGATCATAAGATCATTCTTCTTACCTTTTCCTGGTAGTTAGTCCCAAAAGCAGACTATTCCTTTTTGGGCCTTACAACCTACTTAATTTTCATAACATTTTTATGTAGCAATAGTAGTGTAACAAACCATTTTACAGTGTAACAAAAAACTTTATTGGCATAACAAATCATTTTATCATGCTACTTTGTCTAAATGACTGGGAATGCAAACACTTCCATTTTGTAGGGAATTAGAACCTCTGAAAGAAGAAACACGTTTGGGGATAAGTCTTAGATACCTGTCAAGATATATAACTCACTAGCAGCATTTTTGAAAGGTGACTATGTTTTTATTTTTTTTTCACTGATATAAAGATTTTTATATGCACAGAATGCTGTGAGTAAATCAAACTCTGCTGCAGGAAATAGGCTTGACAGTCATTTATTTAATTTTAATGCAGTAAAGCTATTTTTATATCTGCTTTATAGTTGTTTCTAAAAAAAATTTTTATCGGTGAAACAGTAACTTTGTATCTCATCCTACTTCTGGGTGCCTGTTTAAGTAATTGGTAGTTGAAGATGTTAAACATTTATTTAAACTGGGGGAAAATCAAGAGAAGTATGAGACAATAGGATGCAATTAATAGTAAGGAGTAACTATAGTTAAATTTTCTGTTTAAAATCTGTATTTATTTGATTTAGGGCTGTCCTGGTTTAGGGCATATAATAATGTAATGTAATATAATATAATAATAATATATATTATTTTGATGAATAAGTTCTTCTGCACAACACCTTTAAAATGCAAGGCAGATCATCATTACAGAAACCTCAGTTTTCAGAGAACAAATTAATAATACATTCAAAATGGTGACAGCTTCTTTGAGAAAGACACTTCAAAAAATTTTTGTTGTTATTTGAAAACAGATAATGCACACTAAGAGTATTAAAAGCCAGGCATGCACTGGCATCAATAGCCTGAACATTAAAAAGTTCTCCAAGTTATTGCAGAGAGATTTGAATTAGACCCAGAGCCTAATATGACATTAACAAGTTGCAGCACAAAGCCCCAAGCCAGGGTTCACTGTGCTAACTCTGGAATTAGCAACCACACAACTTCATCAGTGCTGAAAAAGCAAATTTAATAAATTCTGGCAGAGCAACGGGCTGACACAACTAAATGCTTCAGGGCCAGGAGATGTTACTTTCTTCTAATACTGTGTTGCACAAGGTGAAGTTACCTTTCCTCCCATTCTCATCATAGTATGGAAGGATAACCTAAAATCTAGACCACTGAAAGAAGGGGGGAAGCAAAGAAAATGTAAGTCCTAAGCCTAAAAACATGCAAAATATGGAAGCTCTTTGTCATGTTGATGAAAATTCAGGATATTTTGAAGGAAGCTTCTGGTTTACTTTGTGGAGGTCCATCTGCTGCCTCTAATAAGTGTCAATTATTGTAACCCTCAGGCTGCCTGCTGGACCTACAGAGGAGAAACAGCCACAAAAAAAACCCAAAGCCCTCCCTTGAAGAGTCATGTATAAATTCAGACAAAGATGAAATATAGAAAGATTACAGTATTGAAATTTTTCCATAGTGAAGTTAAAAGCAGTGAGCATATCTGCCTAAGGTAAAGTTATCAGTGGGGAATAGCTTATCACATACACTGCCAAGCATAAAACATACATTAAAATAGAAAAATACATTACTTTCTACAAAATAAAATGAAGCTGTAGTATCAGAAGTATAAAAAAAAAACTCCTGGTACTGAATTGGGAATTGGATACTGTGGTCACTGTGAGCAGAATCAGTATCTGCTAAAATGTACATCCCAAAAAGATGCCTTCCCAGTGCTTCTTTCATCTCAGAAATTTACAAGTGTTGCATGCTTTCCCTAAGAGGCAACAGACTTCTAAAGCAGCTTCCAACAGTGTCTGAACTCTCAGGAACATATCTACTACTAGTAGAAAAATTGCAACCCCTGTACCACAAAATCACAGAAGGATTGAGATGGGAAGGGACCTCTGGAGCCCATCTGATCCAAGCCCCCTCACACTTACCTGGGTCCAGCTAGAGCAGCCTGTGCTTCCCAGGACTGTGTCCAAACAGCTTTTGAATATCTCCAAGGAGAGAGACTCCATAATCTCCCTGAGCAACCTGTGCCTTGGCTTGATAACCCTCACACTGGAAAAGCGTATGCTGTTCAGAGGGAACCTCCTGTGTTCCAGTTTGTACCCATTGCCCCTGGTCCTGGCACTGGGCACCACTGGGAAGAGCCTGGCTCCATCCTCATTCCCCCCTCTGTTTAGGACCCAGACCCAGCTCTGCAGGTGAGGCCACAGCAGTGCTGAGCAGAGGGGCAGGATCACCTCCCTTCATCTGCTGGCAGTACTTTGCTCAATACTGCCCAAGCTCTT